TCGGATTAAATCTGAGGATAATGATTGTTAACATCGTTTTGTTTTCTAATGAATTAGACCTGTCAACACCTGTATCGAACGTGATGATGCTATAACTTATGTGCTTGCATGTGAACGCCGTTAGATGACAGTGGAAAGGTGAACCCATCTTCTTGGAAGATTTTAAGTGCTGATAGACCACGTATATCGCTTCTCAGAGGATTGCCAGAAATTTGCTAGAGGTAATGGAAGCATTCTCACCAAATCCTTCAAATTTTTGTAAAAACAAACCACTTCTCGTCTCCGCAATTAATTCTCCCACTGTTTTCAAAATCCAGATTTTTTTAGTTTGGGAATGGATCAAACAAGCCGTAAATCAAAGACTAAGTTTGATCGTTAAGAAAGCCAGCCTGGAAAAAAAATGATCGGTCAAACGAGAAAAGCTCCGAAAACACTAGGCTAAGTGCATACTCAGACAGTTACGAACACAAGAAAAAGAAAAGCGAGATTTTTGCTATCTCAAAATTTGAGAAGGTCTTGATTTCTAAGGGGGAGAAAAGAACGTAAAAGGGTTGGAACTTTGGCGCATAACTCCAAGAAAGTTTGGGTTTCATTTAAGAATTTATTAAGTTTAGCAAATCTTTTGCGCGGTTATACATAAAATGCAGTAGTTGCAGTGTTATTGCACTCACAACGAAACTTCCACACAGTTATAATTGACGTAAAATAAGGAACTTTAAGGTAACAGTATCTCATAAAGCATATCACAAAAGACAAATCGTTTAATGGCTTTTTCGTTTCCCAAACATGATGACCCCCAGCGCACAATGTTTTCAAAAATCACATTACAGTTGTCTAGTTGCATGTGTTTTTTCGCTCATTTCATCACATGCCAGCTCGCATGGGGTTGACATGAATTTTAATAAAGTGTTTATTCAATCCGTTTGTTTGCTGCTACTCTACCTTTACCGACGCTATTCCACAATAATGAGCCCAGAATCTCAAAACTTTCTACCTCGCTCAAACTTCGCTGAGGTCATTTAATATGCTGAACACGAAAATCATATCCATTTTGTAAGATTTTTGTACTTCGCTCAAACACCGAACGTAGTGAGTTAGCCAAGAAGTTAGTAGCGTTTTTATTCTAGATTTTGTATAACTTTATGTTTTATTATTGGGTGTACAACTTAATTCGGTCCGTTTGCAAAAGATGGCGCTAGGTGCTATAAATGGTCGACGGCG